CCCCCTTCCGCCTGCCCCTGTCCCTTGCGCCGTTGGCGGCCCTTTTCGCTTCCTGTCGGGCCACTTGCTTCTCTGTCCATCCTCTTCCATCTCTGTCTCCCTCCCCCCTTCCCGCTCCTTCCCTCCAACACGCGCTTCTGCCTTTCCGTCTCACTCTGGGCGAAAGTCAAAGGGAGTGATGGTGGGCCCGGGGGGGACCAGCGCAGCGAACAAGGGGGTGTTGCCAAAGGCAGCCAGATATTGGTATTGGTGCAGTCCGCCACCCGCGCTGCCCGCACCCCTTCACCCCTTTTCCCAACCCTAGCGCCCAGCAGCAGCCCCTCACATCCCCCATCCAATAACCATGTCGATACAACTTGGTGCTCGAGGGCCCTTTAACGCCGCGCGCCGCGAGTACCCTCACAGGCACTTTAGAGTACCCTCACGAGCACCACCTCCCCCTAATCACCTCCCCGGGCGCCTTCAATGAGGTTCAAACTTATTGTTCCATAGTCACGCCCCGCCCCACCACCACTCCCTGCCCCTTCCGCTCCAACAAGCGGGGGTAAGGATGGTGCAACTTTTCCTCTTTGGCCGTCTGGTGCGGGGTGATCTGATCACCAAAGGAAAGGAAAAGTAACGGAAACGCCTAGTTCTTTTTCCTTGAGACACGCAAGGGGCCGTACACATTTTTCACCATCTTAGAAAAATTGGATAGGTGGAAAAATGGGATTGGGGTAAAATTTATAGTGATAATATCATTCATGTTCTATACAAATTCTGAAGTCAGTACATACAAGAAAACTCTCTACGCCATGTCTGAAAAGTTGAGCACAACCTGTTTACGCCCGCTCCCCCCAATGCGCCGCATTTCGTCCCCTGCTCCCGACTTTTAAATTATTTTCGCAGCACAGCGCGGCGTGGCAGAGCTGGGCGTGGCGGGGCGGGGCGGCGCGGGGCGGGGTGGGGTGGTACGGGACGCGGTGTGGTGCGGCACATTTGCCCCACCTGGCCGAGGCCGACCGACCCCACCAGGGGTGAGGAGGGAGGTTTGTTTGTAAGGCTGTCACGTCTGGGAAGTCAGCCTTCACTGGACCGGCCTGCGGCGGCCTGCGGGCGGAGGAGGCACGGCCGCCATCGGCGCGCGGTGAGCACGGACTATACCTTGATGCGGGTCACTCCCAGCAGCCGTGTGGGGGCACTACCGTTCCGCTCGCCACGGCTCAATCGCTCCACAGCGTCGCAATCAAGACCAACCGAAAGCCCTGCTTTCCAGCCACTGTCAGGCTTTCGCCATATTGGAAGCCAGGCATTCGCAATCAAGCAAGTATGATATTAAAGCCTGCCCTGTTGCGGCGGTCCGCCCCCCCCCCCAAACAACGCAATCAGAGCGCCATCAACTATCGTCCTTGCCATTGCCGGCATCCCGCTCGGCGTGACCTCATGGCGCTGCTGAATGACCCTCTCTGCTCTCCCCGTCTCTCTCTCTCTCTCTCTCTCTCTCTCTCTCTCTCTCTCTCTCTCTCTCTCTCTCTCCCTCCCTCCCTCTCTCACTCCAACGCTTTGTTCGTTTTCTCCACTCTGAATGAGAGGTAGGGTCAGGGCAGAGGGAGACAAACAGAACGGCAGAACAGTGCTGTGCAGTGCAGGGCAGCTCTCCCGTCTCTCCTCGTCCCGAGGTTGGCAACAGAGAGCCGGCACTTGGGTGCGCGGTCTGCTCAGTCTCTCTCCCACCGCAACCCCCTGCCCCCCACATAGTTTAGGGGGGCGCTGCCAAAAGCAGGAAGCCCTCGCGCCTTTTATTCGCCTCCGCCCCACGATAATAGCAGCGCGATAGGAGCTCGGCGAGCCCGAGGCGGAGCCACCGCAACCAAAACCGCGAGACCGACCGCGGCGCCGAGCTCCCGACTCCGACTCCTCCTCCTCTCCTTTTCGAGCGGTTCACCGGAAAAAACTGTTTCTTGATATCCATCGGGACTCCAGAACGGGAATAAAAAATAAACCACAAGGGGACACTTGAATCTTTCCGATATGGGCGGACATCAAGGAACAATCATCAGCAACGCAAGGCAGAACAGCGAAAACACATGATGAAGTGAGGTCTCTACCCCTAAAACAACCGAATCACACATTTTGAATCTATGTTTAAATCAGTAAATTTCGGTATTTCTTTTATTTCTACAAAGAGTGAGACACGTTTTTTGATGATTTTGACAGAGTAAACGTGTTGGCGGCGGTGCGGGCGCTCTATGGTGCCCGATGTGGGCGTGGCGATGACACGCTCCCGGAGGTCGCACAGATTTGTGGCCCCTGTTCTCTCTCTCTCTCGTACTGCTGGTCTCAGCTGAGAACTGAGGTCTCTCTCTTACTCTCACTTCCCGGCCAACAGCCACCGCAGCACCAGCTACCAGCCTCTCACGTCCCTCCCTCAGCAGAGCCGCACTCGGCCAGGTCATCAGGGTGCTGGGGTAGGGCGTGGCGCGGTGGGCTGGCCCGGCCCAACTTTCCGAACTGTAAGCAACAGAACTCCAAGCCTCACTTGCACCGCGGCCGCGTCCTGCTGGTGGTCTCGGAGTCAAGTTTAAGGGGGTCCTGGTCTTTTTTGTTGCGCCCGGCTCCCCCCCCCCCCCCCCCCGCTCAGCACCCGCTCCGCTCCGCCTCACCTCCCCTCCCCTCGCTGCGCTCCGCTGTGCCAAACACTGTCCGCGCCGCACAGTTTCCCCAACACCATTTTTCTTTCACCCGACCATACGCAATGCGGGGAGGCTCCCCGCCGTTGTCTGTACGTAACAGACAGGCAGTCGAAATATCCGGAAAATGATCGAACTTCCAACAGTGTAGGACAAGTCACACCATTACTCCCTTCTCCCTTTTCTACGCTCCTTCTTGCTCCCCCACCCTACGCTCCTTATCTCCCACACACTTTCTGTATGCCTCTCCTCTCTCCATCGCACAAAAACACGCACTCACGGGCCTTCCCTTATACCGTGAAGTACGAAACAGCTGCCAAAGCTCGGGTGGTGGGAAAAATAGCGTAAACAGGAAAACAAAAATGACACCATTTTCTCAGCACATCGCATGGTGCTGCACACATGGCGAACCGGATCATGTAGAAAGTACGTCCACGTCCTCCATTCCGCCCTTACGAAACTATGCCAAGTTCAGCCGATGCAAGCTCTCGTGGCGCCGATAGGCCAGGCAAACGGCATGCCTGAAGTGCATGCTTTGTACTGCGGCATATGGCCAACCCTGAATCTCGCAAGCACCAATAATAAGCTTCGAAAAAAAAAAAACCGGCGGTACTCCCCTAAACTTCTTGCATCATGTACTGCGCTGCCATAGGGTGGGTGGGGCCAAAGCGCCTGCAGCAGCCGGGTAGGCCGGCCCGCTTGGCACACGCGCTGAGCCGGCTGCCTACCCTGTCCTTCGCAGGCGCCGTGCCGCGCCCCCCACCCCCTCCATCACCAGGGGGCCTGTCCCGCCGTCAGCCGTACAGCGCGACGTTTATAAAGCCATACTACTCTCCCCCCGGGGCCCCCGGGCCGGGAGCCGCGCACCGTCAGTTTGCATTTCTGGCCGCGACGCGAGGGGACGCGAGGGGGACACGCCATGAGGGCCCATTTCCTCATC